ATATTTAAAAAATACAGTGTTTTAAAAATATGCCTTAGTTTTTACTAATAGAAAAATAGAAATTTGAGAATTTTTAAAAAGAAAGATGGGCTGATTAACCTGAAGGAAGAATAAATAAATGTTCTTAAGACAAAGTCAAAACCTTAAACTTTGATCTCTATGAAAGTGAAAAAGTGATATAACGTATTTGATTTTAAACAAGATACTATAAAAATGGGACATATTTAACATTACTAGAATAAAATTTACTATGTTCCAGAAACAACCAAAGTACAGAGGCAAGATCACAGAGAAATGGGAATGACTTCTTAGAGCAATCCAGATTTTGATAAATTATTCAACTATATCCTCTTAAAGCTTTATAATATCCATAGTAGCAATGTAATCAGTATTATAATATGACCCTTTCTATCTTGTCTATTCACCTTAGGTCCCCAAACTGAGAACAGTAGAAATCAAGTAATCTTTGAATTATAAAAAGAGATAGTTGGCAATCTACATGGGACTTGCAAAGAAGGGGGCCCAAGGCAAATCCAGTCACCATTAGTGCATCATCCATGTTTAATCTAGGAATCCATTAAGAGGCCAAAACTGTGAAAAAGAAGAGTGCTGCACCCCGTCAGCCACAGAACAAGGGAAAAGAGCATCAGAAAATCATTTGGAGATCTTAACATTTATGATCCCTGGAGTATTATAGAATTATGGACATAGAGACTGTTCCTGACTCACGCTCATTAAAAATCTAAAAAGAGAGGTGTTGACTGGAGTGCTTAGTGATCATTGTAAAAGGACAGGATGTCATTGGGAAGATCTCTCTGCCCTAAAAAAATTATCTATCTTTCTCCCCACTTGCCACACTTTAGAGAATCCAGGCATAGAATAAAAAAACGGGACAGAGCAGCGTGTGGACACTCACATTGTGAACTTTTGCTCCAAGAACTAACACAGGAACATACCAGGAAAACTAAGAGAATCCATAGACCTTTTAAAGGAACTGGATCACTTCTGCAGCCTCCTTGAGATGCTAAAAAACTAAGTCTGCTTATTTTCTCAGCAAGGAGGCTTGTGGTCTGGGGCAAGTTCCCAGCCTTGGTAACCAGCTGCCTGACAATAGACTCAATGCTGTTGGGTGGGGCACACTGGGAATGAGACCAGACTTTAGGACTGTGGGCTGTGTGGGAGCAGGGTGAGACCTATTACTGCCAGCTTTACCCCTGCTTCCCTAACCAGCTGTATGACTCAGCAGAGGCAGCCAGAGTCTCCCTGGGAATATAACTCCATTGTACTGGAAACCACATCCCCAACCCCCATAGTAGCTGCAATAAGCCCTGCCCAAGGAGAGGCTAAAGTCAGACATGCCTATCCCTGCCCTCACCTGGTGGTCTTTATCTTCCCACCCTGGTAACTGAAGACAAAGGTCATAATCTCTTGGGAGCTCTATGGCCCTGCCCACCACTTGAGAATCCTGAATACTTAACCGGGTGTCCCTAGGGAAAGTTTTCATCCTCCCTATATAACTGCAGCTGATGCACTCTTGAAAGCACCACCTCCTGGCTGGAGGCCAATCAACACAAAACCACTAAACAAAACACAACCAAAGACCCTCACAGAGTCCACTTCACTCCCCTGCTATCTCCACAGGAGCAGGTGCTGTTATCCCTTGCTGCAAGATCTGAAGACAGATCACATCACAGAACTCTTTGCAGACACTCTTTAACACCAACCAGATCCCAGTAGCTCCACTGGGTGGCTAGACCCAGGAAAGCAAAAATAATTACCATAGTTCAGCTCTCAGGAATCCCTATTCCTAGGGGAAGGGGGAGAATACCACATCAAAGGAGCACCGCAAGGGACAAAAGAATCTCAACAGCAGCCCAGATCTTCCCTCTGACATAGTCTACTCAAATAAGAAGGAACCAGAAAAATAATCTGGTAATATGACAAAACAACATTCCCTATCACCTTCAAAAGATGATACCAGCTCACCAGCAATGGATCCAAACCAATACAAAATATCTGAATTGCCAGAAAAAGAATTCAGAAGGTCGATTATTAAACTAATCAGGGAGTCACCAGAGAAAGGTGAAGTCCAACTTAAATAAATCAAAAACACGATACAGGATATAAAAGGAAAATTCTTCATTGAAATAGCATACATAAACAATAATCACAACTTCTGGAAATCAAGGACACGCTTGAAAAATGCAAAATGCACTGAAAAGTCTCAGTAATATAATCAAACAAGCAGAAAAAAGAACATCTGAGCTCAAAGACAAGGCTTTTGAATTAACCCAATGCACCAAAGACACAGAAAAAAGAATTTTTAAAAATGAACAAAGCTAGCAATAAGCTTGGGACTATGTTAAACACCAAACCCTAGGAATAACTGATGTTCCCAAGGTAGAAGAGAAATCTAAAAATTTATAAAACATATTTGAGGTAATGATCAAGGAAAACTTCCCTGACCTTGTTAGAGATTGAGATATCCAAATAAAAGAATCTAAAAATACACCTGAAAAATTTCTCACAAAAAGATCATCACCTATGCACATAGTCATCAGATTATCAAAAGTCAAGTTGAAAGAAAGAATCTTAAGAATTGTTAGGCCAAGTATCAGGTAAACTATAAAAATACCCCTATCAGATTGACAGCAGATTGCTCAACAGAAACCCTACAAGCTAGAAGGGATTGGGGTCTCATTTTAGCTTCCTTAAACAAAATAATTATCAGCCAAGAATTTTGTATCCAATGAAACTGAGCTTCATCAATGAAGAAACAATATAGTTTTTCCCAGACCAAAAAATGCTGAGAGAATTTGCCACTATGAAGAAAGCACTACAGGAACCGCTAAAAGGAGCTCTAAATCTTGAAACAAATCCTCGAAATACACAAAATAGAATCTCTTCAAAGCATAAATCTCCAAGGCGTATATAACAATAACAAAATGAAAAAAAAAGGTATTCAGGCAACAAATAGCAAAATAAATGGAATAATACCTCACATCTCAATACCAACATTGAATGTGAATGACTTAACTGTTCTACTTAAAAGATACAGAATGGCAGAATGGATAAGAACTCACCAACCAAGTTCCTGCTGTGTTCAGGAGACTTACCTAACATGTAAGGACTCACATAAACTTAAGGTAAAGAGGTGGAGAAAGGTATTTTCATGTAAATGGACACCAAAAGCAAGCAGGGATAGCTGTTCTTATATCAGATTAAAAAAAAGTCCTAAAATTCCTATGAGACTAAAAGCATAGTCAAAGCAAGTCTAAGTGAAAAGAACAAATCTGGAGGCATCACATGACCTGACTTCAAACTATACTCTAAGGCCATAGTCACACCAAAACAGCATGGTACTGGCATAAAAATAGGCACATAGACCAATGGAACAGAATAGAGAACCCAGAAATAAAGCCAAATATCTACAGCCAACTGATCTTTGACAAAGCAAATAAAAACATAAAGTGGGAAAAGGACACCCTATTCAACCCATGGTGCTGGGATAATTGGCAAGCCACATGTAGAAGAATGAAACTGGATCCTCACATCTCACCTTATACAAAAATCAACTCAAGATGGATCAAAGACACAAATCTGAGACCCAAAACCATAAAGATTCTAAAATAACATCAGAAAAAACATCAGAAAATAACATCAGAAAAAACCTTCCAGACTTTGGCTTAGGTAAAGACTTCATGACCACACGCCCAAAAGCAAATGCAACAAAAACCAAGAAAAATAGATTAAACTAAAAAGCTTCTGCACAGCAAAAGAAATAATCAGCAGAGTTAACAGACAACCTGCGGAGTGGGAGAAAATTTTCACAATCTATACCTCCAACAAAGAACTGATATCCAGAACTTACAAAGAATTCAAACAAATCAGTAAGAAAAAAAAAAATTCTGTCAAAAAATGGGCTAAGGACATGAATAAACAATTCTAAAAGGAAGATATACAAATGGCCAACAAGAATATGGAAAAATGCTCAATGTGACTAATGGTATGAGAAATACAAATAAAAACTGCAATGTGATACTACCTTACTCCAGCAAGAATTACCATTGTTTTATGAGAATATATGGTGGTGGCAGGCGCCTGTAGTCCCAGCTACTTGAGAGGCTGAGGCAGGAGAATCGCTTGAAAATGGGAAGTGGAGGTTGCAATGAGCTGAGATTGCGCCCCTGCACTCCAGCCTGGGCAACAGAGCAAGACTGTCTCAAAAAGAAAAAAATCAAAAAGACTACACATTGGGTACAATGTACACTGCTCAGTGATGGATGTACGAAAATCTCAGAAATCAGCACTAAAGAACTTATTCATGTAATGAAACACATAACCAAGCATCACTTGTTCCCCCCAAACCTACTGAAATTTAAAAAAAAAAATTTTTTTAAAGAAACATTTACCAGTAAAGATTTACCAAAACAGAAAAAAAATGCAGGGGAGGACTGGAAGAGGAAAAATAGGAACAGAGCTGCTGCTTTCATTCGCACTGCAGGCTACCAAGCAAGAATAGAGCCCAAGTTGTGACACCAAAAGCAAGCAGGGGTAGCTATTCTTATATCAGATAAAACAAACTTTAAAGAAACAACAGTTTAAAAAGACAGAAGGACATTATATAGTAATAAAAGGACTCATCCAAAAGAAAAACATTCCAATTCTAATTATATGTGCCTCCTTTGAAAGAAATGAGAGAGTAAAGTTGATCCTTTAAAAGAAATGAGAGAGGAAAGCTGGATCTGTCTCAATTCTTAGCATCCATGAGCTAAGACTGTTAACTACAAGAGCAACTAGGGAAAGACCCTATCAACTACTTGTAAGAATGTCATCTTACTGACACAAGAGCAGAAAATCAAACACCACATGTCCTCACTCATAGGCGGGTGTTGAACAATGAGAACACATTGACACAGGGAGGGGAGGGGAACACTACACACTGGAGCCTGTTGGGGGGAAATAGGGGAGGGACAGTGGAGGGTGGGGAGTTGGAGAGAGATAGCATGGGGAGAAATGCCAGATACAGGTGAAGGGGAGGAAGGCAGCAAATCACACTGCCATGTGTGTACCTATGCAACTATCTTGCATGTTCTTCACATGTACCCCAAAACCTAAAATGCAATTAAAAAAAGAAAAAAAAAGAATGTCATCTTACCAGCCTAGGAAACAAAGCAACACTCTGTTTCTATAAAATCAAAAAATTAGCTGGGTATGGTGGCACTTGCCTGAGGTCTCAGCTACTCTGGAGGCTGAGGGAGAAGGATTGCTTGAGCCCAGGAGGTCAAGGTTTCAGTGAGGTGTGATCATGCCACTGCACTCTAGCCTAGGCAACAGAGTGAGATCCAGTCTCAAAAATAATAATTTATTTTAATCTTACAATTTGGAGAGTATTTTGTGGCTTCTGTCTCTATTATTGAATCATCTACAAACAATGACAGTTTGTTTTCCCCTTTTCCGTTTCTTATGCATTTTCACTTCTTTTTATTGTGTTACTCTGCAAGGCAAACTCCTGTACAACAATTATGGATAAGTGTGATGTCAATTGGCATTCTTTTA